TGTGTGTGTGTGTGTGTGTGTGTGTGTGTGTGTGTGTGTGTGTGTGTTGAGGCGGACACACTCATGCATACACTGTGGCATGAGTGGGAGATCAGAGGAGACAGTTCTCCCATTCCACCACAAGGGTTCTAGGGATTAAACTCAGGTTGTCAGTCAGGTATACAGCAAGCAGCTTTACCTACCGAGCCATCTGCCTGGCCTTTGGTTTACTTTATGAAACAAAGAAAGGAAGGAAGGAAGGAAGGAAGGAAGGAAGGAAGGAAGGAAGGAAGGAAGGAAGGAAAGGAAGAGAAGGAAAGGAAGGAAGGGGAAGGGAAGGAAGGGAGGAAGGGAAAGAGGGAGGGAGGGAGGAAGGGAGGGAGGGAAAGATTTATTTATTTATATATGTTTGTCTGTGTCTGTGTGAGTGAATGCCACATAGTGCAGGTACCCTCAAAGACCAAAAGAGGGCTTTAGCATTATAGGTGACTGTGAGCCTCCCAATGTGAGTGCTAAAATCCAAACTCTGTCCTCTGGAAGAACATCAAATGACCTTAACCTTTGTCTCTCCAGGCCTCCCCCTGCACACACATCATTTACTTTAAAAAGGCTTTCTTATTGCTGGACTGTGGGGGAGGGCATGCCATGCCTATAATCACAGCACTTGGGAGGATTTATGATAAATTTGAGGCCACCCTGGGCTACAGAGTGAAACCCTATCTCATACAAACGAAATAAGTAAATAAATATCCTTTCTTTGGTAGATTGAGAAAAGGATTTTTAAGAGGATCAGGAGTTTATAAAACATACTTCACCGTGTCTCTGCCAGCAAGAGCATACCAGGACCCTTGAACCTCTTTGAGAAAGTAAGGTAGTCAGTGAAAGTCAGGTCTTCAGATGACTGCTCTGAGAGTTCATGATTCTAGCCCTCTGACTGACTGTTGCAGAGTCTGCAGAGACTGCTTGCTGAGATAAACAGAAATCATGTAGTCACATGGAAATATCACCTTTGGAAACACTTGTTGGTGTTTTTTTTTTTTTTTTTTTTTTTTTTTCCCATTTTTTCCTAGTTCTTTGGAACCTACACAGCTTTCTCTGATAACATGTTACCAGTGTATGAGGAAGGTCGGTCTCTGGGGCTTTCAACAGATTGAATCGTCCATGACAGATCTGGAGACTTCCTTTGGCCTGACTAGCTCCCCCATCCCAGGTGTGGAGGGTCGGCCTGAGCACTTCCCTCTGGTGCCTGAATCTCCTAGGCGGATGATGACCCGAAGCCAAGATGCCACAGTTTCTCCAAGCTCTGAGCAGGTATTAGCTGCTTCAGCGTGCCAGTGTAACAGTGGGTTGGAAATTGGTGGTAGGTTTTACTTTAAACCCTGTCAGGAAGACCATCGTATCACATTTCTCTTCACAGATGGAGAAGCTAAATTTGTTATGGAAGCTAAGTATAGAACTATGATATTCTTTGAAGATCTTAGTTACGTTGGCAGTTGAGATTCTAAATTTATATTACAAATTCTAAAATACTATGTTTCACATGCTTCTAGGAGTACTTGGGCTAAAACTATTAACATCATTCACATACTCCATTGCTTTTCTTTTCCTTCAGTCTGAAAAAAGTCCTGGTCCCATTGTTTCCCGAACCCGGAGTTGGGAGTCTTCCAGTCCTGTTGACCGGCCTGAGCTAGAGGCAGCCAGTCCTACCACCAGGAGCCGCCCAGTGACCCGAAGCATGGGAACCGGAGAGTCTGCTGGCTTGGAGGTTCCCTCGAGCCCTCTCCGGAGAGCCAAGCGAGCTCGGCTCTGCTCGTCCAGCAGCTCGGTGAGTCTGCCTTTGTAGGTAGCCATGATGACACAAACAGTAGAAGAAGATACCTTTCTGTGTATCAGGAAGAAGCAGGCACAAGCTCTCCTGGAATTCTGGCCAAAAGTAGACTTAAAGATGGAGCACCGTTCATTACAGTAATCCCAACACTTGAGAGGTGGAGACAGGGTCACAAGCGGCCAGCCTCCACGACTTCTGAGTTCAAGACCAGATTATGTGACATCGGATCTTGTCTCAAACAAAAACCAGGCTGGTGAGCTAGCTCAATGGGTCAAGGGGCTACAAAGACTGGAGCGCGTTCCTGCACACACACACACATGCAAGCACACACAGAATAGACTGGAGCGCGTTCCTGCACACACACACACATGCAAGCACACACAGAATAGACTGGAGCGCGTTCCTGCACACACACACATGCAAGCACGCACAGAATAGACAGATATTTAGGAGGAGGAGGAGGAGGAGGAGGAGGAGGAGGAAGAGGAAGAGGAGGAGGAGGAGGAGGAGGGACAGTTGATCTCCCTCCTCTGTACCAGGTCTCATGAAGCTCAGCTTGCCCTTGAACTCGCTGTATAACCCAGGCTGATCTTGGATTTACATCAGACCTCTCAGTCTCATTGCTGGGATTATAAACTTGGCCAACCACATCTGGTGGGTAGTTTGTTTTTGTTCGTTCTTAATATTTGAGACAAGGTCCCTGTGTAGACCAGGCTGGCCTCAAACTCGGAGCTCTGCCTTCCTCTGTTTCTAAGTGCCAGGATTAAAGGCCTGCACTACCACACCCAGGTGATTAGGTTTAGTTGATGTTGTAGTTTCAGGTATTTTAGATTAACATACAAGGTTATGGGTTTCATACGGCATTTCCATTCTTTGTTTGGTTTGTCCACCTTTCTCCCTCTCCCTCTCCTCGGGCATCCTCTCGCCCTCCTCTGTAGTCCCCATCTTCCCATGCTTGTCTACTCCTTTGTGTCTGTATTTCACAGGGGTTTTTATTTGGTTGATTAGTTGTTTTTTGTTTTAGTTTGGTTGTTTTGTTTTGTTTTGTTTTTGAGATGGGGTTTCTCGCCTGGCGGTGGTGGCGCACGCCTTTGATCCCAGCACTTGGGAGGCAGAGGCAAGCGGATTTCTGAGTTTGAGGCCAGCCTGGTCTACAGAGTGAGTTCCAGGACAGCCAGGGCTATACAGAGAAACCCTGTCTTGAAAAACCAAAAGGAAAAAAGAAAACAAGAAAGAGATGGGGTTTCTCTATGTTAGTAGCCCTGGCTGGCTTTGAAGGTCCTCCTGCCTTTTCCTCCTGAGCGCTTGGATTAAAGGCGTGCCCCACCATTGCCAGTTTTGATATTTGTTTTCTTGATGTTAGCTGTCCTGACTGGGGTGAAATGGAATATCAAGGTAGTTCTGATTTGCATTTCTCTGCTGGCTAAGGATGTTGAACATTTTCAAAAATATTTGTTGGCTCCTTTTTTGAGGTCTGTCCGGCCCATTGATTGAAACTTTGGTGTAGGTTTTGGGGTTTCTTTTTCGCAGTTCTTTATATATTCTAGGTATAAGTTCTGTCTGCAGCGCAGCGCACAGACTCTCCTGTTCTCAGGCTGTCTTTACTCATACTCTGATTTGTTCTGCTGTCGGTTCTCAGGGTTGTTTCCAGTGCTGTCCCAGTGCTTTTCAGATCATGTGAATAGCTAGTGTGGTCAGTCACAGTTCCAATCCCGGCACTCCAGAGGTTGAGGAAGATGCCAAATTCAAGGCCATCCTGGGCTGCACACAGACCTTGATCCTATCTCATCAGAAGGGGGAAGGGCTAGAGACTGAGAGGACAGTGTAAGAGTCTCTTGGGAGGCTGAGGCACGAAGGTGGCCAGCCTTGGCTACAGAGCATGATTTCTACATGGAAACAACAGGAATAAGATAATAAAGAGCTACAAGTGTGGGCCGCTGTGTGTTCTGAGCTTGAGTAGCAGCAGTGCTTCTCACCAGACCTAGCATCTATCCTTCAATAACACTGTGTCTCTTCTTCCTCCCTCAGGACACTTCTCCCCGAAGCTTCTTTGATCCTACCTCTCAGCACAGGGATTGGTGCCCTTGGGTGAATATCACACTCAAAGAAACTAGGGAAAATGGGGAAACGGAAGTGGATGCCTGTCCCCCAGCAGAGCCAGGCTGGAAAGCAGTGTTGACCATCCTGTTGGCCCACAAGCATTCTAACCAGCCAGCTGAGACAGACTCCATGGTGAGATAGCCGTTGCCCGGCGTGTGTGTGCAACGCTTGTTGTCTGTGGATTGAGCAGCAGAGGCTGGCCCTATAGTTAGTACCTGTCTGTTTTCAGCTCTCCTAAGTCTGGTTTCAGGAGTAAAGCACAGAAGTGGTTTTGTCTTTTTGACCTGCTCAGATGTGGCATTCCATGACATCCTGGTAAATCCTTTGTTTCTCCAGCTGAAATGACGAGTAGGGAAGGAATACGGAAACAGAAGTGGGTGGGTGGGCAGCTATCGGACCCTGTGCTCAGTCAGTCTCCATCACTTGTGTTGCAGTTAACTTAGCTGTTGGGAGCTCTGATACCAAATCATGCCTTTATTTCCCAAGTCTTCTGTTTCTTCACTCTTCTGCAGCCTGGGCACATGCTCTGGACATTAGCTCTCACATTCAGATTGCCGGCATTACAGGACCTGAGGAAGTGCAAAGCCATCAGGGCCATCTGGGAAAACAAGAATGAGAGTGAGAGGGTAGACAAAGGCATCCAGAGAACTGGCTTTGTGTTTGTTTCCAGGATCAGCTCCATGTTTGCCTCATAGCCTGTCATAAATACAGCCTATGCTTTTCACAGACTAAAGCAGATACTTTCCTTCCGAAATTCATGGTGGTCAGGTCACATGATTTCCACCAGGGGGAGCTATAATTATACCTGAAACCCAATAATCTTACGTAGAGGAAAGGTTTCCAAAGTCTGTCCAACTGTCTGTTTTCTTTCCTTCCTTCCTTCCTTCCTTCCTTCCTTCCTTCCTTCCTTCCTTCCTTCCTCCCTCCCTCCCTCCCTCCCTCCCTCCCTCCCTCCCTCTCTCTCTCCCTTCCTTTTTTTTTTCATTCATCTATTTAAAAACATTTAGGCCGGGGCTGTCTTGAGGGCTCAGTAAGGGAGCTTACTGCTAAACCTGAAGACCTAAGTTCAGTACCCAGAACCCAAGCCAGGAAGGAGAGAACTGACTCCAGGAAGTTCTCCTCCACGTGCCTACATGGTATTCATGCACACAGACATGCACACTAAATAAGTAAATCCATAAATGCATTGATACATACATGTTTAATGTTTAGGTAGATACACACTTGTGCCAGCACTCAGTAGGCTTAGCAAAAGGATCATAAACCAGAGGCCAGCCTCTAAAACAACAAAATGGGGATTGGGATATAATAAGGTATATAGGCCGGGCAGTGGTGGCACACGCCTTTAATCCCAGCACTTGGGAAGCAGAGGCAGGCGGATTTCTGAGTTCGAGAGTTCGAGGCTAGCCTGGTCTACAGAGTGAGTTTCAGGACCACCAGAGCTACACAGAGAAACCCTGTCTAAAAAAAAACAAAAAAGGTATATAAAGACAAATAGTTGACCCACCACGCAAACTGGAAATGTTAAATCTCAGTCCATAAATTGAGGAAGTATTTTTGGCTAGATTCTTTGTTTAATAAGACACTTCTCTGTTGCCAGCCATGGTAGCACGCATCTTCAATCCTAGCACTCTAGGAGCTAAGGCAGGCAGATCTCTGTGAGTCAGAGGCTTTGTGGTCTACAGGGTTTTTTTTTGGAGTTCAGGACAGTCAGGGCTAAATGTGTACTATGTGAATGCCTAGGAATTACAGATGGTTGTGAGATCCAGCTTCTCTGCGAGAACAAGTGACCTTAGCCAGCTCTTTAATCTCTGTGTTTTTCTTTGTTTTAAAGGTTTAAGTATACGTAGGGCTATGAGCGTGTGTGTGTGTGTGTGTGGGGGGGTGTGTGTGCGTGTGGGGGGGCGGGGGGGGTGGGGGGGGTGCGCGCGCGGGCGTGCATGTTGCCCCCCCCACATGCGTGAGTGCACACACCCATGAATGCTGGAGCTAGAGTTGTAGATGGTTGTAACCCACCTGATGTATGTGCTACAGACCAAACTTGGGTCCTCTGGACGATCAGTTAAATGCTCTTAACTACTGAGTCATCTCTCCAGCCCTGTTTTGCTTGAAAAAAGAAAAAAAATAAATAAAAGTATTGAAAGAGGGGGCAGGAAGTACTGGTAAAGATTCTTCCCACCAAGCCTGATGACCGAGTTTGATCCCGATACCCACAGAATAAAAGGAGGGAACCAACTCCTGCAAGTTGTCTTTTGACTTTCACACATATAATGGCATGTACGTGCCTGCGTATAAAATAAATAAATGTAATTTTGAATAGTGGCACACACCTTTAATCCTAATGATTGAGATGCTGAAACAGTATATTTCGGCCGGGCGGTGATGGCGCACGCCTTTAGTCCCAGCACTTGGGAGGCAGAGACAGGCGGATTTCTGAGTTTGAGGCCAGCCTGGTCTACAGAGTGAGTTCCAGGACAGCCAGAACTACACAGAGAAACCCTGTCTCGAAAAACCAAAAAAAAAAAAAAAAAAACCAGTGTATTTCTGTGAGTTCAAGGACAGCCTGTTCTACATAGTGAATTCCAGGACAGCCAGAGCTACATAGTGAAACCCTGTTTTGGATGGATGGATGTCCTGTTTCGGATGGACAGATAGGGTAAGGAAGCAGTGGAAATGGTATTTCATAAATTGAAGGTAAAACTACCTTACTAGATACCCTTTGTAGTGTCACTGAGACATTGCCAGATGGAGCATCTGTCTACCATCCTTGGATGTCGCTCAGAGGCGGGCAGAACCAAGTTTGACTAAGAACTTTCTCTAGTGAATTGCTGTGTCTTCCTGTAAGCCCTCCTCAGACTCGTTTGCATGCAGGCGCACACATACACTCTCAGAACGTTTCCTAAGTATGATCAGGTAGCAGTGAGAGCCTGTCTAGTTTTAATCCCTGACTAAAACATGAAGCTGAGAGAGCGAGAGTCAAGCTTACACTCTTTTTTTTTTTTTTTTTTTTTGGTTTTTCGAGACAGGGTTTCTCTGTGTAGCCCTGGCTGTCCTGGAACTCACTCGGTAGACCAGGCTGGCCTCAAACTCAGAAATCCGCCTGTCTCTGCCTCCCAAGTGCTGGGACTAAAGGCGTGCACCACCACCGCCCGGCAAGCTTAAACTCTTTAGGGTCATATTCTGTTTTATTTCTCAAACTTTGATACAGTTACCCCATCTGGGGACCACTTAAATCATCGCATGTGGGAAATAACTAGGTCCAATTAAACATCCTGGGTAAAAGCCAGCACAGAGCATGTGCTGCACTCGGTGGATCAGGAGTGCCCTTGTCACAAACAAAGATAAGGACAGATGCAGATATGCCTAGGGACAATACGAGCTAGGCTTTGGAGCTCAGAGGTTGGCAGTGGCCTGGCCGTAGAACACAGGCTTCTTAGCTTTGTTTGACTTTAGCTGTGCATTATGTATCTAGCATAACATAAAATGAGTTCTTATTCAATCATAGACCAGGGCAGCCCGAAAGCTATACCTACCTTTGTCTCTATGAAAGGATCTAATTCTAATGATAAGCTTTTCTCCCTGCAGAGTCTCTCTGAAAAATCAAGGAAAGTGTTCCGAATATTCCGGCAGTGGGAGTCTTTATCCTCATCCTGAAAATGCTCCAGACAGAACTGTTGAGGGTGACTTTTTGAAAAATAAGTTTTGAGTTCTCTTTGATCGGCTGATGCTGCTTTTCTTCATTCTGGTTTAATTGCGAGTGCAGAGGCCTGCCGTCTGCATGATGAAGAGGAGACCCGATTGCCATGTGGGGTGTGGACAGGGTAAGACAGAGCAGCCCAGTTCTGTCAGGGGACTGCAGGATTACGAACCAGCCACAAGACTTGAGGGTTAGAACACCCAGTCAGCAGCTTTGGTTCGGGCACAGTGTTCTGAGCATGTAGCTCAGGAATGTGACAGTATTTGTTAATAAAGTGTTTGCTAAGATTCCTGCTGCTAGAGAATTGTTTTCTCCCTCCCTGTTTCCCCAGGGGGAGTTTTCATAAAATTTAGCTGTAGTTTGTCATTGGACCTTAGAAAGAAGCAGTATAGCTATTGCTTAGTTACCCCAAGAGAAAATTCTTGCAATAGTAATATTCCATCCATGCTTTGCCTCAGCCGCTATCACAAAGAAATATGACTTATTTAGTATAAATTATATCCAGCAAAATTAATCTCTAAATATCACTTAACTAGTCTATATTCAAAATTTGTAATTAGGGGGCTGGAGGTGTGGCTTGATGTGCATGGACAGGTTCTGGGTATAAGTCCCAGCATGCCCTGACCCCAGATTTCTAATTGTTCCAGATATGATTCACATATGATTTGTCTACCCTCAAAGGCTCTAGGAAAAGTAAAATAGGAAGTTACGCCAACACAGTGGCTCACACCTGTTCCCTACCTGGAGGCTAACACAGGAAGATTGTTAGGAGTTTAAGGCTAGACTGAGCCAAAAGAAAGAAAGGAAAGGGGGGGGGAGAGAAAGAGGGGGGGAGAAAAAAAGAAAAGAAAAAGAAAGGCCAGGTAATGGTGGCCCATGTCTTTAATCCTTGCACTCAGGAGACAGAGGCAGGCAGATCTCTGAGTTTAGGACCAAACCTGATCTACAGAGTGAGTTCCATGACAGCTAAGAGTGCACAAAACCCCTGTCTCAAAAGAGAGGTAGGGAGGGGGCCGCGCTAATGCTTGAAGATGGAGGGAGAGAAAGTCCAGGGAAGTATAGTGCTGACTTCTGCATAACTTGGAAAACTGAGAGGGGCAATGAGGGAGTGAAGGAAGTGCAACCACACAGAAACTGACAGGGAGAGCCTGTGACCCCGTGGGCTGCTCACACTGATGGAGTAGTCTCCACAACAGAACATTTATTATGTACGGGCGGAAAGAGTAGCCAGCTTGGTAGAGCTCCGTCCTTAGCAGTCTGAGTCAGCAGGGAAGGAAGCTCACCATTCACACCGAGACCAGAGGAGCCTCTGCACCCCCATGGATCTGCGGCACTTGGGGTCACTGGCATGTCTGCGTTCACTCAGGACTTCACACAAGACTTCTCCCATTCCTCACAAGGCAGACTGGAGCAGGAGCTGGGTTCCAGGAGGACAGAAAAGGGAGCTTGCCTTTCTTGGTTTTAATTCCAACATAGTTAAATACGTAGCACACAGTAGGTACTCAATTTTTAAAATTAATGTTAATGTTTGAACCAGATGGTAGTGGCACACACCTTTAATCCCAGAACTCAGAGGACAGAGGCAAGAGGATCTCTAAGTTCAAGGCCAGCCTGGTGTACAAAGTAAGTTCCAGGACAGCCAAGGCCACACAGAAAAGCCCTGTATGGGGGGCTGGGGGGATGTTTAAACCAAATGTAATAGAACACACCTATAGCTACTTCAGAGACTTGGGGGCAGGGTGTTACAGAAGGGGGAAGAGAAGAAAAGAGAGGGCTGTGGTAGTAGCTTAGAAAGAGACTATCAGCGGAGGTGTAGCTCAGTGGTAGAGTGCTTACCTGGTACGCTTGAGACCTAGTACTTCAAACAAACACAGCAACTCCGGACATGGCAAGTGAGCTCAGTGCTGGGCACAGTCCAGAAAGCACAGGTGTTCTGGGGCTAACCTTTCTTTCTTTTTTTTTTTTTTTAGGGTGAATATTTTATTTTATTTTATTTTATTTTTTTTTTATAAATAATTTATTTATAGCCGGGCGGTGGTGGCGCACGCCTTTGATCCCAGCACTTGGGAGGCAGAGGCAGGCGGATTTCTGAGTTCGAGGCCAGCCTGGTCTACAGAGTGAGTTCCAGGACAGCCAGGGCTATACAGAGAAACCCTGTCTCGAAAAACCAAAAAAAAAAAAAAATAAAAAAAATAAAAAAAAAAAAATAATTTATTTATTTTTGAACATGAAATGCTTTTTTATAGCATGTTTCACAAGGGGAGGGGGTAAGAGGGGCCAGATGGTGGAAAAGTACAAAATCTTCTTGGCCTGTGCCTTGAAACATGTCATGGTCTATACGGTACACTGCCTTGAATTATGATCTACCTGCTGTTCTTCAGAAGATATGGTACACTGCTTGAGTTATGGTCTCCCTGCTATTCTTAAGATGATATGGTACACTGCTTTGAGTCTATCTGCAGTTGCTAAGCAGGATCTTGCAGTTGCCAAGCTTCAGAGGACATTGTGCAGGTGGGGAAAGGTAGGGGGTGAGGGTAAGGGCGAGGGTCCTGGCTTCTGGCATCTCCCCCTTCTCTGTTTAGTTAGAGAAGGCATCTTATGATCAATCCCAACTATGTGAATTTTGAATTTGGATGTCTAATTATGGGGGGTCTTAGACAAGTTCACAACCCCAAAACACTGATGTGAGACGAGTCACATCGATGGTCGAAGGTTTTAGGCTGTCGACGATGGGCAACGTCAAGGGACTCCGATGTGGGTGAAAGGAGGGTGAGGGCCCTGTCTTAGGCCATGTAGGCTGCACCCACTCCCAGCACCACGCACTCCTTTTCGGCTGCATTGGGTGGGCCCCTGGGAAGTGGACCTACAAAAATCCCGTCATTGGGCTAACTCACAGCCATCCTAGTCCCTTGTAAATGTTCAATTTACCAACCATTTGTCAGTTTGGGGTGTAATATTGTCATAAAGGAAGGCTCCCCAATGTTAGCGGCCATATCAAGGGCGGCCTTGGTTTAGGAAAAAGCCAATTTTTGTTGTGGTGATCAAGAGGCCAAGCTCTCTATCGAGAGAAACGGGGGCAAAGCCAGGCATACCAGGAACCCTTCTGGAGGGCGTGGGAGTCTAGCGGTCGACCGTAGGGGGGGAGGCAGGGGAGCTGGCAGCTGTGTCAGTCTCCTGCAGAGTCACTTCTGGATCCTCTTCAATTTTCGGCTGATGGTAATGAACTTCAACCGTCTTCTTGATGGCAGCATCAACCTGGTTCCGTGGATGACAGGTCGCGGGTTTTGATCTCTGTCTCGCTTAATCTTGATGTCCTGCGCACATCCTCTCAATGAGGGTCCGTCCAGAGGGGTCCGTGCCTCGAGCCCCACGTCTGGGTGCCACTTGACCCGACTGGCAGGCCCTAGTTATTCGTGGGGGCGAGGAGGACTGCAACCTGCTATTCTTCAGAAGATATGGTACACTGCTTGAGTTATGGTCTCCTTGCTATTCTTCAGATGATATGGTACACTGCTTTGAGTCTATCTGCAGTTTCCAAGCAGGATCTTGCAGTTGCCAAGCTTCAGGGAACCTTGTGCAGCTGGGAAAAGGTAGGGGGTGAGGGTAAGGGCGAGGATCCTGACTTCTGGCCCATCTGGATTAGAACTTCTAATGGCAGGCATCACGGGTGATTCATTTTTGCCTGGAAAGAAAAAAGAAGGGGATTCTCAGGGAGATTTCTCTTCCCTGGATGTAAATTATTATTCATCGTATTTATGGTTGGGCCTGGCTTTGTGAGTGTATCTATTTTTTTTCATTAATATTTATGGTAGCCGGTTAGCTGTGCCTTCTGTGGTATTGGACAGGCATATCAGTCCTCGGCTCCATAAGGGAACTGGGTCTGGGGCATTCCCTTTACGGGTATGAGGGTCCTTCCCCATATCTGTGGCAAAGTTTTGTTGGTCTTGGTGGTGCCCGAGGTCACCTACATGGTCAGCAAGAGATTTGCCATGAGCTTTCAGCTTAAGAGAGAGAAAAGTGAACAAGGCATGATGGAGAGTATTTCAGGGGGGCTCCTTCTGAGGGGGTACCGTTCCCCCTCTTTTATTTTTAAAGCCAATTTTTCAGAGTTCTTGTAAAATCAGGGCTGAAGCGTGGGGCTAACCTTTCATTGAAACAGACTGAAAGCTGGGTCAGATGGAGTCTTTGACTTAAGAGTTTGAGCTTGATTCTGTGGGGAAGAGAAGTTGTAGGTGAAGTTTTGAGCAGAGAGATGTCCTTCATGCCTAAGAAATGAATGCTAGTGCCTCCAAACACTGCACAAAGACAAGGCAGGGTCAGAGAAGATGAGGGCAGTGGCCATGCGGGAGGCATGATTTGATAGAAATGTCACATGATCAGTTTGGATTCGGAAAGGAAAGTGGTGAGATACCTGGGAGACGGCTCTGTCATTAAAGAGAACTTGCCACACACAAAAAAAAAAAAAAAAAAAAAAAAACAGAAGGACCTGAGTTAGGTTTCCCAACACCCACACAAAAGTAGGGGCATTGGTGCTGGGGGTGTGGAAACAGGAAGATCCTGACTGGCTGGCACAATTGCATCATTTATCTCCAAGTTCTGTAAGAACCCATTTCAGAAAAATAAAACAGGAACCCTCTGACCTCCACATATATACACATCATAAACACAAACACACACACAGGCGAAGTCAGTCATGAATAAAAGATGACCTTGAGAATGTGGCCTAACCAGTCAAGACAGTTCAAGTGGTGAGGAATGACAATCATTTACTGTTGCTGAGAGACCCCTGTGCCTCAGAGCCTTCTGCCCCCTCTCTAGTGTTCAGGAATGGCAGACCTGAAGCACGCTCCTCGAGTTTTTACACTTATCGTGGTGGCTTCTGTCCTGTGGTTAGATTCCTGTCTAAGTAAACGTGGTGTTCTGAAGTCCAGGGTGGAGGGTTCAGTGCTGGTGAAAAACTCAGATCTGGGAAGCCATGTAAGGTGAAGTACATGTTACCAAGAACATGTGAGGGCCCACCCTGTGGAGTCGGTACTCTGCCCTGCCTTAGGGGGTTCTAGGAATCAGTCTCCGGTTTCTAGCCCCTTTACCTCCTGTTTACTCCTTGAGCCATCTCACTGGCCCCAGTGTTTGTTTGTTTGTTTGCTTGCTTTTTTATAGTTTTCCACCAACTATTGTGTGTGATGGGTGTTTTGTCTGCATGTCTGTCTAGGTACCACAGGCATGCCTGGTGCCTGTGGAGGCCTGATGAGGGTATCTCATTCCCTGGAACCAGAGCTGCCCTGTG